TGTTGCTACTTTGTCATGCCGTTGTTTGTAGTCAGTCTGTGCGATCTTCTTGCAGCAGCTGTTTCTTCGGCTTCTTTGCAGAGGCGGCATTTGCTGTCTGTTTCTGTCTTCTCAACTCTGGCTTTGTATGCATTTGTTCTTAATTCTTGGTCTTGTGTAGCAAGAATCAGCCCTTCTGTCCCTTTCTTCAGGTTTCCTGCTCTTAACCATTGCCAGGTCTTGTTATCTGTTTTGGCTGCTAGTTTTTGTGTACTGGCCATGTAATACTTTGCCTTACCATGACTCTTTTTAATTCTTTATTTGGTCTTTCTTGTAGGCCAGTTTGGTCTCTTCAGTATTCAATGAGCCTTCATGGTATACTAGCTTCAGTGCATCTCCTTCACTGTCCTTCAGATATTCTTCTAATGCCCTTTTTTATTCTTCAACTGTCTGTTGTACTTGTAACATTCCACATTCACCTATGCTCCTTGGTAAGTAGAGTCTGTCAACATCCCTGCGTGGATAAATGGCATGATTCAATGTCATTATTTTTCTGGTCTTCCTATCCAGGGCTTCTAATTCTACTTGAGTCCAGTCCACTATTCCAGCTGTGTGTCTAATGACTGGAATTGCCCAGGTATTAATTGCCTTAATTGTATTTCCTCCGCTGAGTTTGGACTTTAAGATCTTCTTCACTTTCATGATGTATTCGCTAGTAACCTTCCTTACTTCCATGTGCTTAATGTTGTCAGCTTGAAGGATGCCCAGATATTTGTAGTAATCTTCTTCATCCTGACTCTTGATGATATTTCCATAGGGCACCTTGATTCTTTCAGTTTTCACTATTTCTCCCCGATTGATGGTAAAGGTGGCACATTTGTCTAGCCCAAAGCCATTGCAGTATCTTGGCTGTATAATCAGAGTGTTGAGCAGCGATTCTATTTCAGATGGTGTTTTTCCATACAGCTTTAGATCATCCATGAAAAGGAGGTGGGATAGCCTGGCAGATGTTTTTGATGTTTGATAGCCACGGCCTGACTTGTTCAGTATTGAGAGAGAAATCAATGCAATGACAAACAGTAGTGGTGATAGTGAATCTCCTTGAAGTATTCTTCTCTTGATATTAATCTCTCCCAGTCTATCACCAGTGACCAGAAACTGTGTCTTCCATTGTGCCATTGGTCTAGGCACTTGATTATCCAGTCATGTGGCAGGGAGTCAAATGCCTT